GGTCGTGGGTCTCGAGCCGACACGGTATATCGGCGAACAGGTGGTATGCCGATAAGGATGTGTGATAAGGCTAGGACCACTGTGGTTCGACGTGGTAGCCCGTGGTAGCCAGGGCAGAGTCTTTGACAGAGTCTTTTCGACGACGCCGCCGGAAATTCGAAATTTGGTAAAAAATTACTATAGTAATTTTTGTGAGTGTCTAGCAGGTGTCAGTCACCTCGAATAACGTTCGCCGTAGTAATACGGGTGGGCTATCCGACTTTGTGCGACGGCCGAGTTTTATAGCCGCCTTTTTGTGGGGGTGTCTAGCAAGTCAGTCGCCTTCCTCGACGTCACTGCACATAGGACATGAATCATAACGCAGAACCTACACACGATTACGAAAATCTAATATAGTAAAATGTAGTATAAAAAATAATATAGTCGTCGTATTTTTGTGGATTTCTAGCAGTTCGGACACCTAGATTGACGTTCGCCGTAGTAATAGCGTTTGGGGTCTAGCGGGTCGGTCAACTTCCTCGACTTCGGTCGTAGTCACCCTGGAAGGCAATCCGACAATATTCGACGGCTGGGGCACGTCATCACGTATGCAATCCGACTGCGTCGAATCGCGGACGACGTTCATTACTGTTACCGAAAAACCAAAAAAGTAATAAATTACTTGAAAAGTATTTAAAAATGTTGGACGTCCATGCAAATCATATAGCCGCAGTATTTTTTAGGGTGTCTAGCAGGTCAGTCACCTCGAATGACATTCGCTATAATATTAGGCCGGTTCACGTCATCACGTATGCAATCCGACTGCGTCGAATGGCGGACGACGTTCATTACTGTTACCGAAAACGCAAAATTAAAGAATAAATTACGTGAAGAAAATTCAAAATATTTCGCTTGTCCATTCAAATCATATAGCCACCGTCTGATTTTTTTGTGTCTAGCAGGTCAGTCATCTATGTTATCCGGGTAGGCAATGTGCGGCCGGGACAGCATCCATTGCAGTCACCGACAACGCAAAATTAAGTAATGAAATACGTGAAAAAAAATTGAAAACATTTCGCAAGCAATCCGACTACCGAGTCACCTTCCTCGTCGTAATTACGCGAAAATATGTTTTGGGGTCTAGCAGGATCTAGGGTCTAGCTTCGGATAGCGGACAACGTGTGACTTCTGACGCAAAATTAAGTAATAGGTCACGTGCAAAAAAATTGGTATATGTTTTGGTGTCTAGCAGGTCAGTCACCTCCCTCGACGTTGGACGTAACAACCCTGGTAGGCAATCTGATTTCGTCGGATAGTGCGACGTCCGGGTCAAGGCATGAAAACGCCAAATGACGTAAATCAAATGTATATAAATAATAACATTTCGGGCGCCCGTGCTAGTCCTAATATAGTCGACGTGATTTGTTGAGTGTCTAGCAAGTCGGGCGAGCACGTTTAATAGTTTTTGTCGTTTATAGTAGGTAGTAGAGCGGTTTAGAAGCGAAACTCGATAAGCTGATTGGGATTTTGTTTCCCCATGATCCTCCGAAAAACACGGAAACGTTTCCGTTAATCATCGAATCAATCGAATTTTTCGTCGCATATTTTCATTTCCGTATATAGTAATAACGACACTGTCCGCTCTCCGATCTCCTCCGCGGCACTCGACTCGAGCGAAGTACTGACTTATACATTTGGCGGGGAACGCGTATAAGCCTTCGACGGTGAAACTCGAAAAAATCGTAAAATGTTCGTTATAATATGATAAGGCTGAAGTGAAATCGAAAAGTAATAATAAAGAAAAAAGTGAAAAAAAAATTCCGGCGGCCGTGCTACCTATCTACCTACCTACTGAGTTCAGAACGCGATATTCGAGAAAAAAAAAGGAACCTTCGACGCATGCGAAATGCCTGTATATAGTAACACCTACTCGACGGTGGTCGAGTAAATGTAGAGGGGAACGCGAATAAGTCATCAACTGTGATTGCAGAAGTGTCGAAAAGGGCTAAAACTGGATTTTTAGAAAAAACGGCAAAAAACGACGCGACGCATATATTTAGCGTTACCTACTCTCGTTTCCGCCCCGGGACTCGTATCTGCAAAAGTACGGCCACGTGCCGGCTGTAAATTTAGCGGGGAACGCGAATAAGATCCAAACGGGGAGGGCGATACGACCGAAACAGGCTAAAACTCAAATTTTTTAAAAAAACTGCAAAAAAAAGAAAATCGAAGTTTTCGACGCACATACCTATTCACGCCCGTGTATAGTAATAAATAGTATCAAGGACTGCTTTGACGGGGAACGCGAATAAGTCTTCGATGGGGAGGTCCGAAGTCCGTAGAGGCGGTAAAACTCGAATTTTGAAAAAAAATCGAACATTTTCGTTAAATACGATAAGACGGAAGTGATAGCGAAAGACGAAAAAAAAAAAAATTAAAAAAAAAACTCAGATTTCACACGGTCGCCGCAAATTATCGAATATCCCGGGAGCCGGGTTCGAAACCACGACCCTCGAGTCACCTGTCCTAACGCCTAACCAACCTAGCCACCTACTGAGATGAAATTCACGGTCAATTGTATGACTCTTAAGCCACGTCGCCGTGCACGTGAAAGGCGAACGCCGTTTGGACGGCCGTCAAAAGGCGTTTGAGCGGGCTATCCGACCGCTTCGGCGAGCGGACCTCCGGATCCGCCACCCTCTGACGTATAAAACGCGAGATTGGCGAAAAAAATCGAACCTCGAGACGCATGTATTTAAGCCTGTATATAGCGATACGTAATGGGTACCTACTCTCGTTTCCGCGACGCCGCTCTTCCCCGGGGCTCGTTTTTGAAAAAGTAGGGCCGCGCGCCAGTTATAAATTTAGCGGGGAACGCGAATACGTCTCCGACAGGGAGGTCGGACGTCTCGTAGAGGTGCTAAACGCGACTCTAGTCGAAAAAGTCGGAAAAACCGTCGAAATCGCGACGACGCCGCGCTCTCTGCGATCGACTGGTCCGCCGGGGGACTGGAATATAAAAAAAGTAGGGCCGCGCGCCGATTACAAATTTAGCGGGGAACGCGAATGAGATCCAAACGGGGAGGTCGATACGCCCAGTGGCGTCGAAGTTTTTAAAATGTGGTAGGGCAATTTTAAAACTTCCCGGCCTCAATATCTTAATTAATTAATATAGAGGAACCCTAATGTAAATTTATTCATAATCACGGTTTAAATTTACTCATGCTTATAATAAAGTTATGATGTAAATTAAATATGGCCACGGCCCGACGTCAGCATGGACTTCGGCGCCACTGGATACGCCCTAAAACGCCTAAAACTCGAATTTTCGAAAAAAACGGCAAAAAACGCGCGCGACGGCGGCGCTCCGTTGGCACTCGACATCCGCCGCCGCCGCATAATTATGAGAATTAAATCAAATTAATAAATAGGTCATTTTATTGATGAATAGCAAATTTGATTGACCCGAAAAATACTGCCCTATTAAACGTATGTATGTATAAATGTATACACTATACAATGCATATAGTTTGTATTTTTTGCATTTATCTTCATAAGTAGGTACCTAATATCATAATATTTTTCTGTTATATTGTATGACTGTATATCATATATTATGTACCTACCTACCAATTTATTTAACATCATATTATGATATTTATGATAGTTTAAATTATTTAGTAATTATAATTGCACATTTATAATGGTGCATCACTGTGTTATACAGTGCCGCAACTTGGTACATATTGGTGGGTGTGCGACCAACTAAAAGGGCCCATGTACAGAGGCACAACAATATGGGGAGGGGGGCAAAGAGCCCCCCCCCCCCGAATACGATTCAGACCCCTCCAAAAAATATTTCTTATTTATTTAGATATAAGCCACTTATAGGTTATTTTAAATTAATAGTTTTGTTAGGTGGGCCCCCCCAGAAATTTAATCCTAGTTGAGACCATCTTCATGCACCAATAGGTCATTACATATTGCTTGTTGTTTTTAGCTATATACATTATGTTATGTGGTTAATATAATATTCACTGCTTTATACTGCTTACAGATAGGTAGAGCTTTGAACACATATAGGTGAGGACTGAGGAGCAGTGATAAAAACATTTATTTTCTTTCTTTTCCCAATTTAAATGCAATAAACATTTAAATTGGGAATCAGCCGTCACAACATAGCAAAATTAAGAAATTCGAGGATATTAAATTATTATTTTCATTATTTTGTTATAACTTTGGTTAGGACTTCGTTTTATTATCATAATAAATAATATTTTTTATTATTCTAATGTATTCATTACTCATTAGTTTCTATTTTTTGATAAAATAATAAGATAGAAAGAACCACTTTGTGAAACACCTTGGTAATAAAATATATTAAACATTATCTTCATGAAAACACATAATATATAATTTATAAAATTATAAATAATAAAAAAATAACAATAAAATTGATTTCATTAAATATGGGTAATTTTTAATACTATGTTTACTTTAAAAAGTTTTTTTTTCTTGCTTTTTGATTTGCAAAAGTATCAATTATGTAATCAATATTCAATTCATCTGTTCATGTTTTTTTCAATGTTTAAAATGCTTATATTTGTTAGCCGTTCCTGTGAAATTGAATTTCGTAAATAATTTTTAATCAACTTAAGTTTCGAAAAAGATCGTTCTGCCGATGCAACAGTTACAGGTAAAGACAAACAAATTATGCAGGCAGTAAGTATTTCACTAAAAAGTGATGAAATATCATTTTCTATAATATATAAAGACAATTCTTTTATTGTTTTCATTTCAGTTTTTCCTAGAAAATCTCTTAATGATAAAACTTGCCTGGTCAAATCAGATGAAACATCATCAGTACTATAAAATGAAATGAAGTCATAACATGACCTAATTATATTCTCTTCACTGTACTTAATTAAATTCAGTGGTTGTAAAAAGTCAAAATTTCTTGAAACTGTTTCAAGTCCTTTGAAACCCTCTTGTAATTGAAATATAGCAGTATCAGTAAGGGGCTAAAAAACGGAAACGCGAAAGTTTTCTTCAATTGTGTATAATCGTTTATCATTATCAATACTATCATACTGCCTCTTTGCAAATTTCTTTCGTTTATTTTCTTGTATTATAGATATTCCCCATTTTGAACATAATTCTGTTGCTGAAGAAACTAGTTCTTCATAACTATTCCTCATTTTTTTAATTGCTTCAATACATACTTGTAAATATTCTACAGCTTGATGTAAACTAGTTTGTGGACTCTGTAAAATTTTAGAAACTACAGACAATGGTTTCAAAACTTTTTCCCATATTGTCATTAAAATTACAAATTCAAAAGATTCCATTTTTTTCTTTAGTGATACTGCAGTATTTTTTTCATCATTTTTATTACTAGTTAAAATTATATTAGTTAAAGATTTTAAAACTTGTATATAATTCACTTTAAGTGCATATACAGCAGTATCTTGCTTCCCAACGGGTGTTACAAACTTTTTTTGTTGTGATTATAGCAGGGACAGAAACCTGTTTAACCGGTTTTCTGAAAAACCGGTTAAAACCACGGTTTTTGCATTTTTGAACACCGTAACCGAAACCGAAACCAAGAGCTTTAAAACCTCGGTTAAAAAACCAGAACCGTAACCTAAGAATTTAAAAAACCATTTATAATACCCAGACCGTAACCAAAAAATTTTAAAACCGTTCTTCAAAACCGATTAACATTTAAAAGTGATTATAGTGATTATATTATTATGGGAAATTGGGATTTATCAATAATATTTTGTAATTTCCTATAAATCTATAAATAGGAAAAATATGTTTTGTACAGTCGTTGCCAGATATATTGAGCAGGCGGCGGCGGTACTTTTCGGATTATCCCAAACTAGTCGCGGTGTGTTTTGACCGCACGGCGCACCACAATTGCGTACCCCTGGGCCCTGGGTCTTTCGTTATCGCGCCGCCGCCGCCGATGCCTGCTCAATTTATCCGGCAACGACTGTAACCATTATTTTTCTGTGCATGTATAAATTGTTCTTTTAAATGTCACTACTTATATAATACAGGGCGTCGCCCGAGTGCGTCCCGAAATGACCCTTTTTTAATGATCCTAGTGCGTCCAGAATAAGGTATCATCCGAGTGCGTCCCAAGAAAAAAGGTCATATTTTTCACATAGCCCGAATGCGTCCCAGTTCATTTAGAGTTACCCAGGGTGCACCACGAGGAGGTGAAGTGGCTTACACCCCAAAAATATTTGGTTATTTGGTTATTTAATTATTATATTATATTATTATTATAAAATTAAAAGTTTATTATTATATAAATGTATTAAATTATTTAGGCTTACATACAATTTTAAAATGCTGGGTTAATATTTAAACTATTTTTTTGGTTGACTTTTTAATGCCATGATTTTCACATAACCATATCTAGAGATTTTAGAAGTTTTGTATTTTTGTATATTTTCTTCAATGAATTAAATATTTTTTTCGTTGACTGATCTATTTTTTTTAGGTATTTGATTAGAAGTTTGTATTAAAATGTTTGTGTCTATTTGAATTTTTTTTAATATTTCTAAGAAGGAATATATGTCCGGATGTGGGGTGTAAAAGCATGAATTAAATTTAGAATGAAAGCTTTCACACGCATTTGTTGTTCGTTCACTGCTACTGCTCATTTCTGCCCATGTGTGAGGAGGGAAATCTGACTGTGGATCAATATAGTTTTCTACGAGATAATAAATAAACTGATTTAGTTTTTCATCATCAGGCTTGATAGACATAAAATCTTCAGTAAAACTTATTTCAATATCGTGTTCATTCAGCATGGGTAATCCAAATATATTCTTTAAAAACTGTCCTATTTCTGATACATCATCACAATAATGAATACTTAAACCAAGATTCTGTACTTTTCGCCACCATGCCTGTCCCAGATGAAACCGACAACCTTTTGTAATAATATCTCTCCAAACATTTCTTGCACCCATATGTATAGATTTTTCAAAATCTGCGTACATAATTTCAGGGTTAAAACATAAATTAAATTTTGTACATTCATTTTTTAATGCCAAAAAACACGAAGAATACGATTCTGTTTGTTTATTATTCAATAAAAAAAATAATAATGGTATGTAATAACCATTATTTAAACCATGAATGGTAAAAAGTTGTAAAACAAATTTTGGACAGTACTTAAATGTACCATCTACATAAATTGTTTTTACGGCACATAAAGTAGCTAAATTTTTTTTACATAAAACATAACCAAGTTTTTATTACTGTCATTCACTAAAAGAAATGTTTCATTATCAAATGTTTTAATTTCTAATGAAGTTAATGAACTATGTACGTCTTGAATATTAGTTAGTTTTTTGGGTAGTATTGAACGGCGAGCAGCATAAATCCCTTTTCGAATACAAGATATGTCAGTCGTCGTTTAAAAGTCCGTGTTTTTATTTTTTAGTTCCAAATGAATTAATTTGAGTGGACGTTCACAAAGTTCTACTTGAGCTTTTCGTTTTACAGAGTTCCTTATTACTTGTCTCATCGTTTTTCCTTCAGATTCTAAATTATGTTTATGATTTAAATTACTATCAATAATTGTCTTCTCACTCTTATCTGTTTTCATGTAAGCTGTACAAGTTTTGTTTACACAGCACCATCGTTTTACATCGCCATTCAACATTTTATGCAATCTCATTTTATATCCATCAATAATTTTAAGTTCCTTACCGTGTTGGCTGATCATACTCGACGGCAACGACATCGACATCTTTAAAGTATATTATAATATTATGTAATATTATTTAATAAAATGAATTAATGTAAAATGTTAATTAAATATATTTAAATAAAACGGTTAGCTGCATACACATAACTACACATCACTAAACATACTGCACGTGGTTGTCAAAGACTTGTTACGAATAGTAGGCTATCTTATCCATAAACTGGATAAAGATAAATAATGTTAGCAATAATATCGCGGACGCACACGGTATATACCAATATAATTTGTGATAATATAGCGGACGCACACGGGATATACCAATATAATTTGTGATATTATCGCGGACGCAGTTGGGCTATTAAAA